ATATATATGAGTAAATTACAGCCTATTTAAATAAAGAATAATAAATCATTTATAAAATAATGCAAATAATTTTTACCCTCCTATTTTACGTATGACCAATATTTTATTGAATATCATACTGTATTTAAAAAAAAACAAAAAATAATTATTTGGAGGGAATCCTTAATCTTTAGATTTTTATTAAGATTTTGTATTACCAAATATTTAGGTTTTTAATCCTAAGTCAAAAACGTAAAATTGTTAATATTCAATAGTAATATCTAATTATTTACATCAACTTAATTGGGATTCTCAATTTTGCGCCACATCAGTGTTTTTCATCCTCTATTAATACTAGTGATGTATGGTCGCGCAATGCGCGACCCTGGCCCAATATATCTGTATATCTTAAAAATGTTTGTATCTGAAAAAAAATATTTTGTATTTGGCAAGATATATTTTAGAAATATTTGAAGAATTTAGAAATTTTTTATAAGTGTGATCATAGAAATGTTTGTATTTGGCATAAAAAGAAATTTATTTGGCCCGGTACGTTTTAGAAATGTTTGAAGATTATACAAATGTTTTATAAGTGTTACTTCTTAAATATAAATAAAATTGATCAAATATATGTCTTGAAGTAAATGCTAGACAAAATATAAAAGCATCCTAATAAGTTTAAATATTAGTAAGATGATTTATTGATATTCTCCATTGGTTGTGCCATATCAGTACTTAATTTTGGAGATTTATAATAGTTTTGTAGTAAGCTTCCTCCAAAAGGTATACGCTTAATTGTTAGAACTATTTCTTCCAAAAGTTTATAGGTAGTAAAATATTAAAACTATGATTTTGAAACTGGTTAATTGTTGAAACTGGTTGATCACAAATATGAGAAAGAAAATAATGTAAATTTGCATAGGTTTCAAGGTATAGCAAAAAAGAACTCACCTCACTATGGCAAATAAAAAAAAAGAAAGTAAAAGATAGTCCATTAAAAATTGAGAAATTTATTTTTTTCTGTATGTAAAAATGATGTATAAAAACAAAAATAAACGTAGAAACATCATTCATTCCCTCTCCACTTCAATTTCATAAAAGGCTTCCCCATAAATTAGTTAGAAGAAGCGACCTGAACTATTTATATGATTAGGAAATAAAAAAAGTCCAAAAACCAAATCCAAAAAAGTATATTATTGAAAGCCCAAACACAAAAAAAAATAACGCGCTTCATTTACAAATAAAATAAAACAATAATAATAATAATTAGTCAACTGGAAGTATGAAACAAAATCAAAAGCAATTTAATAAAAAAAAACCACTTCATAACTGACCATAAACGAAAAAAATTGAGACTCCATAATTAAAAAAAGAAAATCACTCTAATTGAATGAAACATAAAAAAAACTTAAAAAACTACACTTTGTAACAAAAACTCAATTAATAAATTCAATCCAAACAGAACTAAAATCATACAAAAATTCTAGACTAACTAATCATATTAGAAATAATATCATATTGCCTGACAACGGCTACGGGAGCTGTAACGGATGGACGCGTAAAAATAATAGTAATAACACTATTCTTGAACGGGAAAAATAAAAAATAATAAAAGTCAAACAAATAATATGTGGAAATAAAATCATTTAAATTTTAATACTTGTAATGGCACCACCACAACGGCCGAAGCAAAATCAATGAGAATTTTTTTTTTCCTTTGTGTTTATATGGAGAGGTAAAGAGAATTTTTTTTTAAGTCGAAATTTTATCCGATTAGGATGTAGTTGATCATCACTAATGAAAAGATTGAACATGCTAATAGGAAAGGAGTATATTTAACCACATATTCTCAATTGATAATTGATGAGGAATTTGTTTTTTTTTTTAATTGTGGAGAAGGGATTGATTAGGAAGTCGATTGTCGTGGAGATAGAGATGAGGATTTGGGTTTTTTATGAACCTATGGTTTTTTTTTTTTTTTTTGGTTTTGACCAAAATAGGAGGTAGAGGTGAATTTGACTGCATTTGTCTTTTTAAGTGTAGGAGATGTGTAAATAAAAATATGATGTGAAAATGCCACATGACAAATGGAGGTGTTTTCTCTTAAGTGTGGTTTTTGTTTCTAATATAGTAAGATATATAGATATATATAATAATGATAATAATGATTCCACCAAAAACGTTTTTACTAATGAAACATGGATTCCAACTTTACAATCCATACCCTTCAAAACACCCCCACATAGCACGAGTACACCCTTCGTCCACATCAAACACCTCATCTTGTTTTTTTAATTTTTTACGGCACATAAATTATCCACGTCAACCATAATCTTACAAAGTTATGTTCCACGCTGTTAGATTTAATCCTTAAAGTAAATCTCACAATTCCGTCTATAATATCAACATTCATAAATCATAATCAACCGGCCCCCTATGACATCGCCCATAGTTGGTCGCTTGGTCAAGAGTAATTTTACCAGCACTTTAACATCTATGTTTTGAAAATCAGACCGGAAGGTAAACCGGTAATTTAATAGGTTCATTGGTTGATTGGTTTAACAGGTTTGAATCGATCTTAGAAACCGGTCAAAACCGTATATAATGATATTTATAAAATAATTTATTTTCAAAATTTAAAAAATTCGGTTCGTCCGATACTAGTTCCTAATCGAATCGCAGATTTTCAAATTTTAACCGAAACCGGACCGAAAAGGCTTTCGATTCTCAATTGAACTGGTTTGATAGCCACGTCCAATCTAGTTTTCAAAACATAGCTTAACATACCGTTGTCTTATTAGTTGATCCATATCGGTTTTGACTTTTGACCTTCATCAATATCACCTGTCCCACTTAAGAACCGACGATCTTCTTCACTTCTTGGGCTTGAGCTTGAACCTTTAAATTTTAATGAAAGGAAAAGGTTTTATTTATATTATTTTTTTATTTTCTCGTCCCTTATAGTTGTTTTCGACCTTCTGCCTAAGCGTTAGTTAACTATAAAATATGGTACCATTTTTTGTCCTTCACAAATTGCAATATGCATTTTTCTATCCCATACGCATGGAAGTTGAACTTTTTCATCCTTTATTTTTTAATACAAATATCCTTTTTGTCCTTGAAATGTATAGTGAGAAATTTAGAAAAATTTACTAGTCATGTGATATTGTGATTGTATTTACCAAAACACTAAATGTAAATGACAAAAAAAAAAAAAAACGTTTTCATAGTATAAAGAACAACTTTTTTTCTTTTTATGAAATATAAAGGACACTAAAGACTAATAAAGCATTGTGATAATTTAAAAATTTTGTAAAAAAATTATTTATCATTATTTTTTTATTTTTAACTTTTGTTTCCTCATAGGAGAAAAAAGAGCAAAACATATTGTAATGTATTGCTTACTAAGATCTATTGTAGTTCATTGAGAGAAACTACAGTAAAACCTTCATAAATTAGTACAGTTGTGCCACATATATAAGTTTCATTGATCATCAGAGATCATAAAGGGAACCTAATTGTAGATGGATGCCAAGAACTAGTCATCGTAATAGTTTTGAAGCAGAAGTGGAGGCGCTGCTCATCGGACTTATGAAATGTGGAGAAATGAAGCTACAAAGAGTACAAGTAAGATCTGATAACAAAACACTAGTTTCTTTTTATCTAAAAAGTTCAACTTTTCCTTAGAGGTATAAGATATCACTGAGGCAAATAAAAGGAATTTTGGAAAAACCACATTAAAGCATGTTTATCAAAAAGTAAATACAGTCGTCGATTCTTTGACAAAAGTGGCTTCCATAGGAGTATCGGCCACGTATGTACACCATTCGCAACTTCTAAATTATACTCGTGGTTTGCTATTCCTGGATCAACAAACTACTCCATATCTACGAGTACGGTAGCTTAATATACTGTGTTTAGGTTTTAGATCTTTTTTCAATTTTTATTCTAGAAGAGCTGTTATGGATTCTTGAATTATTTTTGTAAAACATTCTCTTAGCATATTTTTAATTTTATTAGCATACAGAACTGTCAGGGGATTATAGAAATCTTTGTACGACAGTTCTTAGTCCTAGAATGCATCTGAACCATCATGGGATTATAGATAATTTTTGTACGATGGTTCTTCCCTTTGGGTAAGTCTTAGACAGTGCCCTTTGTAATCTTTTTTTTTTCAATTAATAAAATCAAAAGAATGCCCGCCAGATACCGCCCTAGATTTCCTTAAAAACAAAAAAAGTTTCATTAATTCATATTGTTGTTAGTTATCAATAATTAATAATTTCTTAGTTTATCAGGAGTATTAGTAATTCTAATAAGAAACATACTGAAATTTGTACATGAAAAATATGGCTTTTGAAATACATGAGTAAAACTAAAATATGAGAAAAATCATCAAATATAAATCGTAAGGGGAAAAAAATACCGTTAGACATAAAGTTTACTCAAAACTAGTATTGTCTTTTTTGGTATTTTTTGTAATTATTAACTTATCAAATTTTCAGAATCTATATTTTCACATAGGATATTTTTTCAATTACTGTTATTTTGTAAATTAATTGTGTTTACGAATATTGCAAATATTTAGAATATTTCTCGATAAGTTTTTCTTTTGAAATATCAGTATATTCTACTGATATTAATATCACCGTCATTTAATGATGGTTTTTTCTTTGTACAGAGTAAGTCTTAAGCACTGCTCTGAAAATTTTTTCTACTATTTATAAAATTCCCAGGTTATTACCTGATTTATTAAAAAAAAAATATATTTTTGGCTTTTTGTGTTGGACCGAATTGAGATAGAAAAATCCCTTTTTATATATTATTACTCTTAAAGCAGCATAAAAACAGATAAAGTGGCAGATTCGGGTGAAATTTTTTCCCGCCCAAACTAATGAGGTTGCAGGAACAGTTTTGACATGTTGCACATCATTTGACTATCATGTGCCGCGGTTCGTTCCTTGGTTTGCTGTTTTATCGTGAGGTTCAAAGCTGCGCTCGTGTTTGCTTCGTCCAGGAAGATGGCTCCAAAAAATCAAAAAGACCAACCGACTACGGATCAGTTGAAGGAGGAATTGGGCCAAGAAATCCGGGACATGCTTGGTCAGTACACGACCGATTTGGAGCAGCGCCTTGCTGCGGCTATTGGTCGGCAGGTTGGGGACGTTGTGGCAGCGGAAATGCAACGTTTGGGGTTTACGGCGAAGAACCCTAAACAGGAACCGAGAGCTAGAGCACCAGAGTCGGATTCCTCCACAGATGACGGAGACTCTGATTCGTCAGACTCTGATCGTTCGTCGCGGTCTTCTCGCCAATGCAAGGGCCGTGGGCTGATGAACGGTGTGCGTGGGAGACGGGGATGCGCACTGAAATTGCAGAATTTTGGGGTTCTGCACAACCGAAAGATTTCCTTGATTGGGTTACCACCCTCGAGGAGATTTTTGAATTCAAATCAGTTCCTTTGGACAAAAGAGTCTCACTTGTTGCTATGCGCCTCCGTGATCGGGCTTTGGCTTGGTGGCATCAACTCAAACTGGAGCGTACTCGTTCCAAGAAGTCCAAAATCCGTTCTTGGCCGAAGATGAAGAAGCTGCTCACTGATGAATTTGTTCCGCCCAATTTCCGGCGAACTTTCTATCAACGGTTGCAAAATCTCCACCAAGGCAGTCGCTCCGTCGCCGATTACACCTCTAATTTGTACAAATTGCTGGCTCGGAATAACCTTGCTGAGTCTCGCGATCAGAAGGTTGCCCGGTATATCGGCGGTTTGCGTCTCGAAATTCAGGAGACCGATTCTTTGCTGGATCCTTTTCTCTCGCGGTAGCTCAGCAACGCGCGTCTGAAGTGTACCGGCAGCAGCAGGGGCATGGTTCCGACAGCCGTCTCAATCCTCTCTCGAATTCTGCTCCTCCTGCTTCCCCCGTTGTTAGACATTCCACCAGCACTGTTTCGGAGTCAGTTGCTGCTGGCCGTCAACAACGTACTGGACTCTGCTGTTTCAATTGCGGTGAACCAGGTCACTGTCTTGCGGAGTGTACACAGCCCGAAAAGAGGAACCTCCTTGCTGAAATTCCAGCTCCAACGGCTGAACCAGTTGAGGACACTGATCCCGTGTATGATACAGATGGTGAGCAGGGTGAATTGGTGGCCGGTGATGTGAGAATGGCCCTTGTCTCAATGCGGTCGTGTCTCGCACCTCCCTCATTGGATGATGCTTGGCTTCGGACTAAGATTTTCCAATCCAGTTGCACAGTTAAGCACAAAGTATGCCGTTTTATGATTGATGCGGGTAGTTGCTCTAATTTTATTTCATCCGAAGCTATTCATAAGTTGGGAATCAATGTTGAATCTCATCCGTCTCCTTATATTCTTTCTTGGTTAAAGAAAGGCGACGAGGTAACTATTTCCAAGCGTACTCTTGTATCTCTTTCTATTGATACCAAGTATGAGGATGATGTTTGGTGTGATATTGTTAGCATGGATGCTTATCATATTTTACTTGGTAGGCCGTGGCAGTTTGACCGTGATGTGTATCATTCTGGTAGAGCTAATACTTACAGTTTTAATTTTAATGGTGCTAAAATCATTTTATTGCCTAGTCGAGATTTTGAGTCGCCATCTGCGACGTCATCCCCCTCTGTCAGTATGCTTTCTGTGAAGGCTTTTCAGGCTTCTTTGTGTGATGATTCTGTTGTGTATGTGCTTACAGGAAAAGATGTTTCAGATTCTGTTGGTGTTTCGGCTGTTGTTATACCTTTACTACAGGAATTCTCGGATGTCTTTCCGGTTGACCTTCCTCATGGATTACCTCCTATGCGAGATATCCAACACCATATTGATTTTGAACTGGGTGCTGTTTGAGTCAAAATTGTATTTTGTAGTGGAAAATGATTCGGCTCAAACTAATTTCAAGTGACTGCGTGATATTCTCAAAGTGCGTAAACCAAACGCTGAAATTGTCCTAAACAGGATGATGCATTTGAATTGGCACTCAACCGAATAATGAGAAATTCTAAGAAACGGATAAAACAGTTTGCAAGAGCCTGTTTTATTGATTGAATGAAAACGAATCGGCTTTGAATAGCCTGAATCGCCAAAATGATTACAACGTTTAAAGTTAAAACATAAACGAATACATAAAAGCTTAAAATTGCAAAGAACAAAGCTATAAAGAACAATATGATTCCTGATTCTCGGATAATGAGTTGTGTCCTTCCCGGTGTCTCCTTCATAGCTTTTTTTGGTGTTACCACTAAGGAATTTTACTTTTGATGGACGGCAGTTGCCTCCATTGTCCCCTCAATATGGAACACCAGTGATGATGCTTGGAACGTCATGGGGACAACAATCACCCTATCAAGGAGTCCAGGCACCGTGGCCGGTGACTCCGGGAATGCAACAGGTGGGAAATGAAACAAATAATACTGTTGCAAGGAATGCGCAAGAAACGAATCAATTGCAGTTGCAAAATACTACATTTCCACAGCAAGTTTTACCAATGCAACATCAACAAGGATCAGCAGTGGTTCTATCGCAACTGAGTGGACAAGAAGGTGTGCCTAGACTAACGTACATACCACAGGGAACAGCAGATGTAGGTGACAAAGGAACTGCGGGTGTAACAATTAATCAAGGCCCTGTTGGTACGGGAAACAATCAAGGTGTTGTTGGTGAAAATGCAAGCCAGCCTGGTCAACATGTACACGCGACCAATGACCGCCGTTTTATATTATATCAGAACCGAGTACCAGGAAATAATACTGCAGGTGCAAATTTGGATGATCCACACATACCTCAAGGCTCTGGTGTTGTGGTTGCTGATCCGCAAATTGTTTCACCTCATCAGACATTGGAAGAGAATAGAGAGGAACAATAGTGGATGGAAAATGAAGCAAATCAGATTCTGAACCGAAATAGGGCACAAGCTATTGGAAGACATATCGGAAATCAGAATTTGGGAAATAGACACAACCCACGTCACCAGCGTTTATGGGGCCAAGGAGGTGGTCGTCATCGGGTTGATCTTGGTAATGAAGTTCAACAAGAACCGGACGCAGCAGCGAATGATAATCAGCAAAAAAATTTTGAGACGAGTGTTGATCAGACTTTAAATGGCGAGGATGCGTTTTCAAGAATGATAGAAGGCAAGATCCATAAAGAGCTAGGCACAGAAATTCCAGAGATTCTAGGAAAGCCGTATCCTGACTATGTTGAATGGGAGCCATTGCCAAGGAACTTTAAGATTCCCGATTTTCAGCAATTTTCAGGAGAGGATGAGAAGAGACTTGAAGACCATATAAGTTTGTTTGAATTGCAGTGCGGGTCAGTAAGCAACAATACTTTAATCAAGTTGCGTTTGTTCCCCTATTCTCTAAAAGGGACCACTTTTGACTGGTACCGATCGTTAGCACCAGGTTCTATTCCGTCATGGAAAACACAGCAGCGAGAGTTCTTGTCCTACTTCCGTAGGGATACCACACGATTGTCAATCGTTGATCTCTCAGAAATTCGATAGAAGTTTAGAGAAGCTGCGGAAGCTTATTTGATACGTTTTCATCAAATGTATGCAAAGATCCCAGATAAGTATGATGAGCCAACTATTGTCAAGATGGCAATTGCCGAAATTCAGAATTACAAAGTCAAGTTAGCTGTCGCACCACATTCTGTTCGATCCTTGAATCATTTAGAAGATATTGTAAGAAGATGTGAGAAAGTCATTAAAGATAAAAGGGAGAAGAATCCGGGAAAGACGAAGCAATGGTTCAACAAAGCTCCAGTAGCAGAAGTGAATCAAAGTCAATGGGTTCATGATGAGGACGATGACGAATATGAGGTTAATGCTGCTGAAATCGTCAATGTCCGTAACTACACGTGTGATGCATTACGTCGCCCTACAGCTCCACATTCTTATAATACTCCCCCACCGGTAGGTGCACCGACAGGTACCCCAGGGCAAGCTGACAGAGCTAACGTTGGTAGAGTATATTCTTTCGACATATCGCAACAAGAGGCCATCTTTGATGACATGTTCCAAAAAGGCCATATTCAGTACAGAAGGGGATATAGACAACCAAAGCTAGCAGATCTAGTTGGAAAGACGTATTGTAAATACCACATGTCATGGACTCACCCCATAAACGACTGTGTGGTGTTTCGGAATAAACTTCAAAAGATGATTGATGATGGCAATGTGGTAGTAGAAGATCCTGTTGAAATGAATGTCAATCCTTTCCCGCCACAACACCAGGTCCGAATGGTGAATGTAGGATTTGGAAGTCACTCCTCTGATACATGTGTGCTCACTGGTTGTGAAGATTGTGACAAAGCATATAATAAGGTCAAGCAACAGCTGCAAGAGCTAGGATCTAAGTTTTGAGGCCATTTGAATCGACAAAATGCACGTCCATCCACAACAGAAGTGAATATAGTGATAAATGGACATACGGAGACATGGGTACAAAAGGAAACACGTTAAGATCTGGAGTAAGAGAAACTAAGAGCTGCGTCAGATGCAATCTTGAATGCTTTGAACCAAAATCAGCAACAAAATTTACAACATCAAGGTTTGCATATAGAAGTTCTTCCGACGCAACGAGTGCCCGTCCATACAAGATTGGGGAATACCATTGTCAGCCCTAGGGCTAACTCGCCATATCAAGTTCATAATAGAAGACCATCAGTGTGGCAACGGATTCAACATCCCAGCCAAAGGGACAATACCGAGCCCAGGTCAGTCAGAGTAGCACCCGTGAATGATAGAGAATGGCATCGCTATGTTCATCCCAAGTTCCCTACTCCGCCATTAAGGAAAGAAAAGATGACCAGGACGCAGAAACGACGATGGCAAAGGGTTATGAATAAACAAAATAGGGATGAAACAGGAAAATTAGGCACGAATCAAGAGGAACAATCCCCATATTCCCAGCAAACATCAATGAATAAGTTTTCAGGGTAGGAAGATAGACGATCACAATTGTGGGGAAAAATGGATACGTTCTTCCCACCAGTAAACATGGTTTATATGTTACCGAAAACTTTTCGTTTGAAAGAACCTGCAACTGCAACAACTATCATCCCTAAAGCTGTTGCAGACACATTGGTTGTTCCTGAAACGACTTCATTCGTAACAGAACCACATGACGCTACAGTTGGTGGTATTCAGCTACTATCTCAAGAAGGGAAAGGCCCGGTCATAATGCTCTCTCAGCCAGCTGAGAGCTCTGGGACTCACATTCAGCCATTATATATTTGCGCCATCATGGATGGATTACCATTGAGACAAGTGTGAGTGAATAGTGCAGCAATTAATATCTTGCCTACAAGAGCTTTACAGAGATTAGGCAAGCAACTCAAGGATTTAGTGCCAACTGAAATTTTTGTCAGCGGATTTACAGGAGACGTTACAACCGCTAAAGGATTCTTACCATTGCAAGTGGGGGTAGGATCACAAGTGGTGGTATTGGCATTCTTTGTAGTTGACACTAAAGCGTCTTACAATGCTCTTTCAAGGCGCGACTGGATCCATTCGGCAAGATGTATTCCTTCTTCATTACATCAAGCAATTATTATATGGGGAACAGATGGACCAGAAATCATAGCTGCTGATGCAAGTCCATTTGGAGCTCAAGCTAATGCTGTAGAGGTTTATTATTACGACAGTGAAGTAGGTCCATACCGTCTTGTTGGGATGGATAAGTGTGGTCGGCCATAACAGGCCACTATGCGCCGTGATATGAGTCTTCCAGAGTGGAAATTGCTTTTACAAGAAGTCAGCAGGCCATACAATTACAACGTGTTAAGGCCGTTGCCAGCTGCTCCGTTTATTGAAGTAGTATCTAATGACGGCAGTTGAACAGTTAAGTGTTATGGATACGATGGAGTTAGATCAAGAATTGTTGCAGGCAAAAGAAAAGCAAGCTGCCATCAAGCGTGTGTTGCAGTATTTTGAGAATGAGCGTCAACATCAAATTGAAATGCCTACGGTGTGTTGGGATGAAGTAATTTATGATGCAGATCCAGTTTCAGATAGTGATGTCATTGATTTGAATGAATATGCTACTGCAACCCCAAAGTTAAGCGATGAGGCGGTTGTTACCAAAGAACCAGTCGAAGCAGTAAATTTAGGATCATCTAGAGAGGAGAAGCCCACTTATATCAGTTCTTCCTTGGCGGTTGACTTTATTTTAGTTGCAGTATATGTTGAATGGTTATCTAATGTGGTCCCTGTTATCAAGAAAAATGGCAAAACCAGGGTCTGCACGGATTTCCGTAACCTTAATCTAGCATCTCCAAAGGATGAGTATCAAATGCCGAATGCGGAAACATTGATTGACAGGTTGATGGATTTTCAAGTCATGAGTTTTGTTGACGGCAACGCTGGATATAACCAAATTTTCATAGCTCCTGCAGATGTTCAGAAGACTGCTTTTAGTGCACCAAGATCCTTAGGCATTTTTCAGAGGAAGGTTATGCCATTTGGATTAAAGAATGCCGGAGCAACGTACCAAAGGGCAATGAACTACATCTTTCATGATCTCATCGGAAAGGTTCTGGAGGTATACATAGATAGGGGTGTTCACAGTTTGGTTCAAACCGGTCAAACCGGTTGATCCGGACCGCGGTTCGGATTTTGGTTCGGTTCCAAAGGTTTTTCTTCAATCCGGCGGTTTCAAAATTTAAAATCCGGATAAAATGGTCCGGTTCTCAGTTTTGCATTTAGAAACCGCCAGCCAAACCGAACCGGACCGTTTATATTATTTTTTATGTATGTGTATTATAAATTATCTTATATATATTTGTATGTGAACTAGAGATCGTGAATCTCATTGTTGCCAAGCTGGTTACTAGTACGTACATGACCATATATATTTGCATTTAGTCCAGGATCAATTCCCCTTGCCTATTTTTTTCTTCTCCTTTTATTTTTATTTTTTATTTGCCCATGTTCTCAAAATCTCAAACATATACGGTCTTCGTTTCTATTTTTCTTCCTTCCTTTTAAAACATAAAACCAAGTTCTCCATTATAAACCCTAAAGCTGCACTTGCTCTTTTTTTTCCCCGCCCCAGAAAACATGCAAATCAATAAAAATTAACTTTCTTCATCCCTTGTGCCTACTTCTTTCTTCTCCTTTTATTTTTACTTTTTATTTGCCCATGTTCTCAAAACCTCAAACATATACGGTCTTCGTTTCTATTTTTTTCCCTTCCTTTTAAAACATAAAACCAAGTTCTCCATCATAAACCCTAAAGCTGCACTTGCTCTTCTTTTTCCCCACCCCAGAAAACATGCAAATCAATAAAAATTAACTTCCTTCATCCCTTGTGGCTTGTGTCACTGCAATAATCTAAGCGACCGACTCATTCATTTGTTCAATCTCCTTTGTACTTAATCCCCGTGTGGTGGATTTTTTGCCTAAACCCAAGAGAGATCTATAGAATATTAAGCTTGATTCTTATTTCGACGATCTACCGTACCCTTTTGCCCTTGCTGCCGCTATCATTACTAGGTTCTTTTATTCTTTCTTTTTCTCTTCTTTTTGTAGTCTGATTAATTATCTTATTCAAGGCTGAGATTGAAAACAATTTTTTACTACGATGCATGACTATGATCAAGTTTTTGGATTATTTAAGTCTTTTAGATAGAAAAGATTGATGAGACATATTCCAAATTATTTTGAATGCATGGTTAAGCCATGGCTCGCTGATGAGATTTATTTTTTGACAGTAAGATATATTTTTAGCAATATTACTATGATCATTACCTATTTATTTACTTTGTCTGAAGTAATACTCGGAAACACAAGAAAAGAGAATAGGTGAAAGGTTTAATGGTAGGAAATGGGACCAGAGACTCTTGGATTTATGTCACAACGAA